GAGTCATTGTCAACACCAAAGTCCTCATAGAGGTAGCTTGGAACAGTGGTAAAAGATATCCCCATCCATTAAGTAAATTAGCCCCAAAAAGGTGGCTCAGCCAATTAACAACTTAATATTATAATTTAAAGTTTTTTAATTAGAATTTTACATTAAATGAGAAGAATTTAAAAGAAAGGGAAAGATTATCTTATATTAGTAGATGTACAAAAAAATACACAAATTAAATCACAAAAATTTTATATAGTTTAAGATGTTGATATATATTCAAACTCTATACTCAAAAAAAGTACACAAATATGCAAAACAATTTCAATAATATGCTCACACAACTTAACAATGACAAAGAAATGTACCTACTTTCTTGTGCTTACCTTTAGCTAGAAACGGAATACAACTCTCTTTTGGGATCTAAGAAAAAATTTACGTAAAATGTGATAAATTTTTTTATTAGTAAAAAGAAATGAGAAATAAATAGTTAAAAAATAAAATTATTAGTTTGATTTGATTGATAATCACCTGATGGGTAACAAGGTCTTTTAATGGGAAGGAGAAGGGGAAGGGGAAAGGGAGAAGACAAGGGGAGTGCGATGGCGATGGTGACGGCGATGGTGAGAGCTGCGGTGGAGAAGTCTGTGTTTGTAGGGTGACTGATTGAAAAATATATAACCTCCAAATATACGTGAGGCGAAACTGGCTGATACTATATTATTTTTGTATTGAACATGACAAAATATCCTTAAAAGGGACTCATTATATAAGTCCATCATAAAACCGTAGGCCGTGTTTAGAGGCCCATAGTTTTTTTCCATCTGCTTGTGCGTCTAGCCCAACACTCTTAACTAAATCTAAATTTAAATCTAAGCCCTTGTTTGGATAGAAAATAGTAAAGGGAAGGGAAGTGAGGGGAATGGAGGAAAATAAAAGAACCTGGAGGAGGAGGAAAAGAAAGGGAAGGGAAGAAAATAGAAGGAAATGATTTGTGTTAATTTTGTTTGGATAAATAAAAATGAGGAAGGGGAAGGGAAGGGAAGGATTGTATTATTTTATGTTTGGATAATTAAGGTAAAAGGAAGGGAAGGAAGGGAAAGATTTAAATTAATTTTAAATTTACAAATTTATCCTTTAAGCTTGTAATGGAGAAGAATATAATAAAAAAATTAAGGTTAATTTTGTAATTACATTTAATTTAATCTAAACAGTCACTCAAATCCCTCCCAAACCCCCCAAATCGGGCGAATTGCAAATCTACAGTTTGAGGGTGGTTGGAGGGAGTCCGAATCAGTCCATCTACCTCTCCTTCTGCCTTTTTGGAAACCCAAACAGGAGGAAAGAGATAGCCCCCCCTCGCTTCCCCTCCTTTGCCATCCGTCCCCATCCCTTCCCCTCCCTCTCTGTCTGACACCTCCAATCCAAACAATACCTAAATCTCTAAATTTAATTCTAACTAAAGAATTAAATCGGAGAAACAGTACTCTCTCAACTTCTGATGCTAACCACAGTGTGTTTATGGATATTTGCTACAGTATTTCTCTTTCTGGCATTTTGTAGTTTCGTCAGAGAATGAATATGGCGTTCCGAGTTGCACCAAAAAGAACATGGGCCTTTCGAGAGGTTTTCGTTTCTGTGTTCCATTGGTTTTTCTGAAAATTGGTCTGGGTTTTCGTGAATCATGAAAAGGGAAAGTTTGGTTGCATGAAATTTGAACGGTACTCATTCCTTTTGTTCTGGGTTTCAATGGCGGAGGGTCAGAACGTAAATCGAAGCGAAGGGAGCAATTACTCATCGGAGGATGAGGGGACTCAAGACTAGGAGAGGAGGGTAACACGCAGTGCCAATTGGGGACACCTTTCTAGAATGATCGCTATGCGGCACAGAGCAAGCTCGATTACCATTGTTCATGATGCTCTCTCTATGTCCTCTAATATGAGCTTTCATGTTCATGATGCTGAAAAGGCAAATCATTTTACTTATTGCCATTGTTCTGAGCTAGCTCGATGAGGACTCTGATGTTGATGATGACCCAAATAGTGATATTACCATTATTCTCCTTTCTAAAGTGGAAAATGCTGAATTAGAG